TTCGCCAAAATTTATCGTATTTTTCTGGATTATCAAAACTTTCATATCACAATATTATTAATAATGATAATAATATGTTGTACGAAAATAAGCTATTTGTAATTAATTTTAGAGTAATAAAATTTAATGGTGAATAATCGAAAACACGTTTATTTGTCGTTATCGTAAATAATTAATGAAATATTGTTATTATCCGAATACCTCGCGCCTACACTCAATATTATACGCAGAGTCAGGGGAGTTAAAAAGCATAGGTGAAACAATTCAATTTTAAACTAACGTATTTTCGCGTGTTTTAACAATTTTTTTACTTTCAATGGAATGGGTTAAAATTAAACAGCGATGTCAAAATTGTTATTTATTTGTGAAGTTACTTCATCCCCCGGCACCCGTTACAATGACGATGATAATGAAAAATATTGATAATGATAAATATACTACAACTGCGAATCTATTACTTCTTCTGAGGACATTCTGAGAACAAGGAACAACATTGTTCATTATTACTATTATATAATCGGCTTTACTCGTTCGTTGGCTGGTTATGCATTATCTAGTGCATCGTAGGGGTACAGGGATCGCGGAACGAGGACGTGGACAACGACGACGACGACGACGACGACGACGACGACGACGACTACGACGACGACGACGACGACGACTACGACGACGACACAAAGCAATCAGGTGGGGAGGACCGCCATAAATTTGAGCAGCGGTCGGCAGTAATGTGCAGGTCGCTGAACGCGAGATAGAGGAGGCGATCTATATTTATGCGGTAGGCCGCTATGATTCATATAACGCGCATCGCAAGAGATAATGAGCAATTTGTAATGTATCCGAATATAATGCAGGACTCGCGGCTTCTGCGCGCTTTATTTAGAGCTCCAAATGGTAATTATTGCCTCATTCGCAAATTTATCGCTGATTCCCGCAATACTCTCTACTCACAATGCATCGAAGCTTACTTGTTTGTTTTTTGTTATTGTTATTGTTGTTTTTATTTTTCTTTTTCCTTTTTGTCTCATCTATGTTTTTGCGAAAGTGCAACTCAATACTGGACACGCGCGCACTGTATTTTCGATGGAAGCGGGGGTCGATGTACGTTTGTCTGTTTGTTATGCGACTTGGCAACTTTAACAAAGTAATTATGTCGAATGAATTATTTAGTCATAAGCTTTATTCTTCTATAAGCTTTATCATATTATTCTTCTTTTTTTTTATTGCATTGATGTTTGAATTCAAATTTACAAATAAGTTCAGTTTGAATAAATTTTTGGGAACTTTGAAGAGCAAATTAGTCAATCTTAGCATATTTTGGTAATATTTTTATAATATTGAGATAATGTTATGTAAGTATATTCGTACGTTTCTTAAGAGATTTTTAGAAAATGTTACGTAAACTTATATCAAATTGGTTAGTTGATAGATCATAGATGCCGTATAACGCAAACGCCCATTAAGCAATTGTGCTCGTTCATTGAACGAAGAGAAGCGCTCTCGAGACGAGACTCTTCTATTGGTTTTTTCTTCTTGTTGCTTATTTTTTTGCTTTTTTTTTTCTTTTTCCACCCAACATTGGATAGGTTGAGGGAGGTAGGGACGGGTTGTGTTGCAGCTCTCGTCTTATTAGAAGCGTAACTTTTTCACGGGGTTTTAAAAGCACGTCCGACTTTATGTTCTCAGCGGCGGCATAAGAGAAAGAGAGTGAGAGAGTGAGAGAGAAAGAGAGATAGAGAGAGAGAGAGAGAGAGAGAAGAAGTTTTAAAACACTTTGGAAGCTTTTGCGACGCCTCGTTCGCCCCTCAGCCTCTTTTTAACTCGGCGTTAAAGTAAATTGTTTGCTTTATTGAGGAGAAAGCAAAAGTTTAAAGCTAAGCATTATATTCAAAATTCACTTCGATTGACAATAATTTTTGTCGATACGTCGCAATCGATGCTGTAAATGTTCTGCATAATAATCTATTTAAAATTTTCTCTTACACGTTTTTTGATTATCGATGATAGTAAACAATAATAGGACCTTCCATTCGCTTTCGATTAAAAACAAAGCTACAATTAAATTGCTAATATTCGAATTTATTAATTGCATGTTTTTTTTTTTTTTTTCGTAATCGATGAAGTACCTCGAGTTAAAATATAAAAAGTTCCATTCCGTAAATTATAACGAGCCAATATTTTATCACACTGCTTGTAATTGCAAAAAACGATGGCGCAGTTTTTGTTTCAAAATGATAGTACATGGGAAACTGTCATGATAATAAAATTTATCAAAATATATAATTGCATTATGCCATTTAATGAATCACGAAATCCGAGATTAAAAATTCCTTTATACGTACTTAAAAAATTCCATTTCTAAACATAGAAAGAAATTTAACGCGATGTAGACAATAAAAGCTCGATTATTCAAGAGTGACGGGGAGTTTAGAAAACCAGATAATTTTCACGGTTTTCAACATTTCACACACGTAACTCTTTCACGTGGATTAACACGGTTACGTACTCTCTTGCGTTATTTGCATCGTAATTACGAGGCGGTTGCTTAGCTGGAGTGGTTTTCCCATAAAGGGTTATAATTTAAAATGATTTTAACAGACTTGTAACAACTACTAATGTATGTATATAGACTGGTTAAGGAGTAGCTTACTGACCTCATTCTCGAACAAAGTAAACGGATACTTTAACAATTAATTTCGTTTATGAATATTTCAACACTTTTAATTTTCTTCATTCCAGTGCAACATTATCATTATTAATTCAATCCGAGCGTCTTCATAATGCTCTTGATTAACGTTTCAGGAGCGTCAATAAATTTTCAATAAAGCCCATCGTTGCGATCGAACGCAGAAACTATTGCACCTGAATAATCCTTATCGCAACTAAAATAAGAACAAATGTCTCCCTATCCGCTTCAAATTTCATTAAAATTTTAACGAATAACCCTTATAATTCAACCAGAGCTTGCTTTCATTACGTCGCCAGGCACAACTACCACGAGGAAGCCCACCCATCCAGTGTTCAGCAAAGTAATTGTTTTAAAATAAAATATCTTTATAAAACTCCCGTCCGCCATTTATTAGTCCGTTTCTTTTAACGAGCAGGGAGTGTTGGCTACATAAAATTAGAGCATAATTATATTTTTACCGAGTCGTATCTCCGACGGATTAACTCGCTTATCGAAAGCACAGTATTTTATTTCGAATTACAACTTCATTCCGAACAGACATACGAGCGCTCCGACACAGCGATAATCTGCATTCTACGAGCAAAAAGCCGTGACGCCATCAGCAATCGTTCTTATCGCGTACGTAATGCGGGGCCGAAGAATTAAAAGGTAGGATGCAGGCCCTCGGATAGCATTTTGGACTTTTCGTCGGGTGGGGGAGTGAAGTTGAGAGGGGTGAAGGAGACTAACCCACATGGATTATAATCAAGAGCGGAGAAACGCGATGATGCGCTCAGGGATATTTTGTCGCGAATCCGTTGTGTTCGAGAGTGCGAGCTACGACCAAAAATTGCGCTTTATCGTATCACTGTGTGTGTCGATGTGACTTTGCGCGTCGCCGAGCCGACCAGTCACGCAATCATATAGCCGTTTTCTTTCCCTTATTTTCCATTATCTTTTCCGTCGTTGCGTCAACGAAGACGTACATTTTCCCGAAGCTTTAGATCCACGTAATTCCATTCATTCACATCGGACAAAATAAATTTTTCTACGAGTCGTATCGGTGAACATGTCATTCGATCGCGCAATCGTCAAAGAAAAAACTCTCTTGACATTTTTAATGCCAATGTTGGCCACAATTTTTTATCGCGATAATCCATTTTATTTAGAACTCACGTTTATTCAACGGAATATTTCCTGCTTGATTTTATAATTTAGCAATTTCTCATCAGTGTGACGGCAATTTGTTTTACAAATTTAGCTTAAAATTTTTCAAAACTTAATCCACGAAGTTATAGAGATTGTTACTGACATATAATTTGACGAATAATATAAAAACAAATAATAGAAACAAAATTGAATTTGTTTGTGTTTATTTATTTATTAATTTTTTTTTTTTTTTTTTTTTTTTTGTCATAATAACCTGGCACAACGAACACTCTACAATAGTGGAATAAAACATGTGATCCGACGGCAAACTATACGTATTGGAATCATGATTAGAGCAATTAGCACCAATTACTAATAAATGAAGTAGCAAGCTGAACGCAATCTGATGTACATTTGCTGTGTATGGCTCGGATGCCCAGATAATCACTGTAAACAACATAATCTTCTCAATCGGCCTCAAATTCACGCCGAAATAGCGATAGGATTATTGCCGCATTTATATAACGTTCAACACGCACGACGATCGATGTAACAAATTAGAGACATTGATAGAGAGAGAGAGAGAGAGAGAGAGAGAGAGAGAGAGAGAGAAAGACAGCACAGCTTTTCTGTGTTTAGTGTTTAGTCTAGCTTACCAACGAAATCATTACCACGTGAAAGAACAGAGGATTTGACTTTTCCACATTTCCGCCCACGTTTTAATATGCTTTCTCGGTATTTATGTATTACGCAGCTGCGCTGTTACAATTACAAAATTCATAGCAGAAACATTTTATAAATTCGGTATCGAGAATATTTTATTTAATAGGTAATTTTTGCGTGCACTCATATTGTATGCCGAATTGTATCCTAAACAAGTATAGCGTAGTGATTAGCAAGAGCGGCGGAGGGGAGGAATGGCGCGTGAAAAAACTACAGGTTTTTTTCTAATTTTTAAAAACGCAGTATTTTATCGGGAGTGCGAGGGGGAGGCGGAGAATTGGAGAGTGGCGCGTGGTTAAGGTCCACAGAAGTAGTGTCCGGCTATAAAAAACCGAAACAAAAGAAACATAAAGTCAGCAAGAAAAAAAAAAAAAAAGAAAAGAAAAAAAAAGAGAGTGAGAGAAAAAAGAAATTAAGACAGGGAAGAAGAGGGCAAAAGATGATGAAAGAGTAAACTCACGATCCGTTGTCGGCGAGAGCAGGCTGGGGCCAGGCTCTCGGCACCGGTTCCTCCTTCAATATCTGTCGCATGTCCTGGGGCGCGAAGACGAGGGGCGCCCGCGGGTGATGATGCGGAGGCGGCGGGGGCGGCGCGACGCTCGCCCCGTACAGCTTCCTGCCCCAGTGACCCTCGAGCTCGACGGGGCTGCCCCCGGCAGCGGTGCTCGCGGCCCCGCCGGCAGCCGCAGCCCCGAGTCCCAGCCATGGCGACCCCCCAGCGCCCACGATGGTGGAGCTGGGCAGGAGGCTGTTCCACTCGTCGGACCGCGTCGTGAGGCCGTGCGCGCCGCTCCCTGGTGCCGAGCTCGGCTCCTGCTCCCGGCCTGTCGCGCTCCCTTGGATGGGACCGCGGGCGTTACGAGGGGCCCACCACCATGCCAAGGACTCCTCGTGCGGGCCACCACTCGGCGCGACACCACGCGGATTTCACTTCATGCGCGGCCGCGAGGAAGCTGCGTGTGCGCACGTGCGTCCGCGTCAATCTGCCTGGCGCTCCTACTCGTGCTCCAGCCGGTGCTCCAACTCGTCGTCGTGTGTCGCTGCCGCTGCCGCTGCTGTATTCCGAAGTCCCCAGCCGCGCGTTGCTTCCCGTTACGGCGCCGCTTGTCGAATGTGTCACGGGCTGGCGAGCCGGCGTGCCCGAGGGTCCCACGGGTCGTCCGAGGCGTCCCGCTCCGCGCTGGGCGGCGCCCTCGCGCATTGCTTCGGCGCGAGGAGGCACGAGGCGGGCATCGCCCGGGAGCGGGAGCCAATGGCCGCCGTCGCGGCCGGCCAATCCGTTGACGGGGGTGGCTACGCCCGGGCGAATCGGCAGCGAGGGAGTGGGGCGAGGCCTCTGTGGCGACGAGGCGCGTGGCGCCGCGGCGAGGACCCGGGCCGAGGCTCCGGAGCATTGCGGCGCGCGCCGTCGGTCGGAGCGCTCAGAGTCGTGGTGGCTCTCTCGCGTTACCGAGTCGAGTCGAGCCGAGCCGAGCCGAGACGAGGCGAGCCGAGACAAGGCGAGACAAGGCGAGATGAGGCGAGATGAGGCGAGATGAGGCGAGATGAGGCGAGATGAGGCGAGATGAGGCGAAATGAGGCGAAATGAGTCGCGATGAGGCGGGATGAGGCGAGAGGAGGCGAGACGAGGCGAGACGAGGCGAGACGAGGCGAGACTCGCGCCGTCGGTTCTTTATTTTGCGTTTCCACCGGGGTGGGCGGAGGCCGCGTTTCCTCGCCAATGAGGCGCGAATTTCGAGGATACGGGCACGGGGAGGCGAGTCCTCATCGCCGACTTTCCGGGGCTCTTCGTCCCCGTCCGCGAACCAACCGACGCTCCAACGGCGATCGGTTCCTCTTGGTGGCGCGATAATTTCAACGCGCGATAAGACGATAGAGTCCGTCTCGCCACTCGCGGCTCATTGCGATTTCCGTGATGTATTAGCGACTCGCGAATTATTAATATTTATCGCGGATTCGCCAGTCAATGCCGTCGTGCGCCATCGCCAACTTATCGTACGATTTTCGTGAATTGATGTTTTTAAACGCCGTGAAGGCTCTCCTTGAGCTAGTGGTAGATTGCAGATTCTCTAGTTCCTGGTTGAGTCACGCGAATGTAAATGTGATGTCGATTCGTCATAATGTAATAATAATAATAATAAGTGACAAGTTGCAACGCGCATGCAATGACAATGTAAACGATCGGGTGAAATTTAATTTTGCTCCCTTGCTCCCTTATGTTGTGCCGCCAGTATTCTATACTATCTTTATCCTTATCTTTATTTATTTCGTGTCATTCTAAGGCGTCAACTATCGATCGATTCCACATATAAAACATTGTATCACAAATTTTGCACAATTGCATCGCAAATGACTTCGCATCTTCTCCGAGTTTCGTTCCGCTTCAATGAAATATTTTGTCAATGTAACAATTTTACATTTAGAAATTTTCAGGCGGAAATTAAATCGATCACTTTGTGTGGCGTTATAATTATAATTCATTAATAGAGAATAATTCACTTTGAAATTTATACACGAAGTAAGTAGGCAGCGTTTTGCAATGTCGTGTTCCATGTATTAATTATACGTTCGACAACTTTTTTCGTTAATTACGACATATATTACAATTAAATTGCAATGTGTAATCGTTTTTATGATTTTTTTTTAAGTATCCTGTCTCGTATACGTAGAACAATAATTAATGATTTATGCATATCTTTTTCAAATACGGGATGAAACATCAAGTTTTCACTAGCATTATAATTTCTGTTTATTGAAACAGATCCGTGTGCGCTCGATAATATGCTTTTTATTGCACACCCACACACACACCCACACGCACGTATATATATATATATATATATATATATATATATATATATATATATATATACACACGTGTGTGTGTGTGCGCGTGTGCGTGTGCGTGTGCGTGTGCGTGTGTATGTATAATTTACAGATTTCGCAAAAGTAAAAGTTATGAGATCTTGGTGGGTTTGTGGAAGTTAACTCGCTCTATTATTGATGTCACATACATGTGGCATTATATAAGTAGTTTGTAGTAGTCGGAATACATTTATTCGGATAAATGTTAAAAGCAGATAAATATTCTTAGTCGCAGTTAAATCTCAGGCGCAATTGATATTGTATCCATGCTCTTTAATTTTTGATAAGACGTAGATAATAAAATGGTGCATCAACTTAGCGATGGTGAGTAATAAAAATAATTGCCTTGGTGTACCATCGTACCAGATGATTAATAGTTGCGCACGAGTGTGCGAACTATGTACGTATATAACAAACAAGAAATCTCGGCTTGTCCAAAATCTATATCCAATTTATTTTTCATTTGGCGGTACGTTTAAAGGCGATTAGTGTCCCACCGGAGCAAACGAATAAACAACAACAACAGCAACATTAACAGAAATAGTAACGACAACAGCAACATGAACAACGACAGTAACAACAACAGCAACAGCAACTACGACGACGACGAAAAATAAAGAAAGAAAAAAACCGAGCGGCCTTGCCTCGAAAATAGAAAACAGGCAATAAAAAGGAAAGAGAAAGAGACACAGACAGAGCCTTATCAACGGCGCGCATTTAAAATTCTCAACCGAAATCAGCAAAAAATCGCGTCGGTCGTCGGCAAGCAGCTCGACTCACCACCAAATGCGGCTCGTTCAAAAGCGCTCGGACTCGCGCAATATAACGAAATTAGCACGTCCATTGCTTTATGTACTATCCGCACTCTCATACGTCTCGCACATCTCGTCTCTCGCGCGCGACTCCTAGCCTTATTTATCCCGTGGAAAATGTCACGACGTCGATATGTCGCGGGCGCGTGTATTAACGTGAAAAAGGTAGGCGATCCCAGGGTTGAATCGAGGCGACGCGACGGACCGGAGAGATGCGCTTGTGAATACCGAGCATCGCTCCCATAGGCTTCCCACGTAATTATGGCGAAGAGGATCGCTTAGCGCGAGGCGAACTCTCATATTTAATGCCTTAACTTGCTGCCCGAAGACGAATGATGAAAGATGAGGTGTGCGCAAAGCGAGACGTTGCGAGAGCGAATATGAGTAAAAGTGAGATCGCGAACTATGTTGTTTGATCTTGTGTTAGGTGATCGCGTCGTTTTCTGAGGGCGCGGGAACGAGGAGGAGGACATAGTAATTTTCCGAATTATTGACGCCGAGTCCCCGACGAGTTTAGTTGGGCAGTATTTGCTGTTCGTTGTCAAACTTACAAAACTATGGACTTTTGGGTGGAGAATTCGCTCCTACTCTTACATCTATGCTCGTTTGTCGGATAATACATGTTTTACAGCTTCGTTCGCGCAATTTGTCGGATTTATCATTGGACTCCCATAGATGATATAATAATCAATTTAGGACAAGCCATGAACTTTATATCATTAATGGGCAATGAACATATAAATATTATAAATTATATAATTGCATGATTTTTCTTCAATATTCCTTTCGTTCCTGTTGCTTATATGCTTGTTCGTTCGTTCGTTCGTTCGTTCGTTCGTTCGTTCGTTCGTTCGTTCGTACGTTTGTTTGCCTTTTGTTTTTCTTTGTCATAAAGAAGCATAGATGATAGTCGAATGGGTATTTAATGATTATAGGAAATGAGTCGCGAGACGTAGCTTTTGCATGAATTAATTTTGCCCCCACGTTTATTGCACTATAGACACAATAAAGTGTCAAGGGTTCCACATACCGAATTCCCAAGTAGTGAAATAATTGATACGTAATAGTGACAAGAGCCGAGTACTATATCTAAATAAATACGCTTACATAATATTGCATTAACTTGCATTAACTGCGCGGTTGTATGGCGTTGCTGCTATTTAGAAATTTATCATTAATTAAGAATCTTTTATCTGCGACATAACAATCCGCTCCAAATAACAAGGCGCTCGCGCACTCGATTATATCAGCGCTGATATTTTACTTTTCTTAGCTTCGTGTATAACGTAGTCTCTTTTTATCGTAACCAATTCCGCTTCTTGCGCAGTTGTTGGACAGCTTGACAGTAGGTCCGGACTGCGGAGGCTCTCGTTCAGCGCACGTAAGCCAGGTTCGGTTATATCGAATAATACAGCAATAATTTCGCAACGAGGCAAGAATCTCTCCCTCATAAAAAATATGAAGACAATCGACCGGTTTCACATGGCGAATGAAGATTCTTCTCAGTTGCAGATGCGCAACACCTCGTCGACAATTGCCTTTTTCTTTTTCTCGGCTCTTGGATTGTGCGTGAGTTGTAATCGCTCTCAGACCGGGTAAGGAAAAGCGCTCGCGGAATCTCCAGAAGCGATTTTTCCCAACGGACATTGGCGTCGTGGGGCCGCGCGGGGCCAAAAACACGTCGAGGTGGCGATTATCGCGCGTCTCGCAATCGCCTTCCTATTCTTCCCTCTTTTTTTTCTTTCGCAATCGGTATATGTGGCAGCGACCATTGGTACACTGGTAGGAATCCAATGCCCGACTCACGTTCATCGCGTCCACCTAGCGACCATCGTGCTTGTATGTCCAATATCTACGGGATACCTTGATAATTGGCCAAGGATGGGCTCTCAAATTTTCTTTTAATTAGTAATGGAATTATTAATTAAACGAGGATCGTAAGGAGCGATGTTAAGCTGTAAATGCCGTTAAAGGGAAGCCAAGTCAATC